GGGGCAAGTGATGCTCTGTCTTCTTGGTGCTTGGGGGGGCCAACGGTGGGAGGGGGCTCCTAGTGTCCTGGCCCCACTGGTGGACCTCCTGATGGCACTGGTATTTCTGGCCACTGTGTGATACAGAGTGTTGGACTGGATGGGCCTTTGGCCTGATCCAACAATGGCATCTCTTATGTTCTTATGTTCTTAATTACCCCTCAAGGGTTAGCGTGATTATTAGGCGTCCTCTGGCCTGCAGGTGTCCGTAGTTCGGGCCTTCCTGCCCAGACCACCCTCATGTCTTTCGAGGCCGGATTCAAGAATGCGGTAATCGGTTAATCATGAGAACCTGTGCTCAACTGTGTAACTAGACAGGAGGGGAGAATTTGGAGCGGATGTGAACATCTCCTGGAAAGGTCTATCAAGGTAGATTCCTGACTGGATCCAAGAGACTAGCTGGTACCAGAGGGCAAAAGACTACAATAAGGCTACAGGCCAAAGGGACGCCGTACTAACTTTTTTTGCTTGTGCCATGCTAGTATGCTTTGATATGTTATGCTACATCATGATGGACTGCTATGTATAGAATGCTTTCGGCTACAGCTTGGACTCTTATGCTGCAAGAAGGTGTGTCTTCTGACACCAGGTACTAAATGTATTAGATAGAAAGTTAGCTTTTTTAATTTCTCTGCTGCTAAGTTGAAGGAGGAGGAGGAGGAGGAGGCTGGATTTATACCCTGCCCTTCACTACTTGAAGGTGTCTCAGAGCGGCTTACAATCTCCTTCCCCTTCCCCTCCCCACAACAGACACCCTGGGAGGTAGGTGGGGCTGAGGGAGCTCTTTTGAGAACTGCTCGTGTGAGAACAGCTCTGAGAGAACCTGTGACTGACCCAAGGTCACACCAGCAGCTGCATGTGGAGGAGTGGGGAATCAAACCCGGTTCTCCCCGACTGGAGTCCACGCTCCTAACCACTACACCAAACTGAGTCTCTGTACTAGAGACTGTACTGAATAGTGATACTCCTTTTTAAACTGTTCAATAGAACTTCATATATATTTTTACAAAGGGCTGCTTTATTTGCGTGCATTTAACCACGAGGACCCACAGGGCTGGGCGCTGCTCGGGTTAACAGGGGTGGTGGCCTAGGGGGACCCAGACTTGGGGCTCTGATGATGTCTTACTCTCGCTGCATCGTGTTTATATTTTGTAATCAGCCTTGAGCCTCAACGAGAAAGGTGGGCTATAAATT